TCTAAATAACCATTCACCAAACCAGTTATTCTACTTCTAATTCACTACCCCTCCTTCTCTTCTAGAAAACATTTCATGCCATGACAAAAAAAAAATAAAAAAAATCTACATATGATTTTCTAAATATAGTCTTACAAACTAGTTTTTAATCACTTCATTACCAAATAGACACCCTTCAAAACAAAGAAGTGATACTAGACTACAACCAGATTTTCAGCCTGGAAGGAGGAACCAGTCTCAGAATGAAACAAATGGGTTTCATAAAACCAAAGGTTTTTTTCATAAAAACAAAATGTTTCATAAAACCAAAGAGATGTAGGAGCTTGTATTCAGCATATGATCTCTTCAGAATGGACTGCTGCTTTAATGTATGCAGCAGTTGTTCCACCTGCTCTGCAAGTGGAATATTTATTTGCTTAATAGATTCTAAATAAAAACTGCAATCAGCCACCACAGAAATTGCACATCATTACATAACAGCCAGTAATTGATTAGCAGATGCAGACATTGAACTGGATTTCTACTTTTGTTTTTCACAGAACAGCAAGATAGCTTTTCACTCTTACATTCTACCTAAAAATCTAATAGCTGTTCATTTCCCGCCTTTCTTAAGGCTCTACAATTATCATTCAGTTACATATTATAGTAAAATTACTTTAACTGCTGTTTAATTGTAAAAGGTTTTTTTGAGGTATGGTTCCCATTGAGAATTTTAATTATAGGTCAGAGGCAGAAATCCATACTAGCTTCACTTCCCCTGTCCCAATTATATGACCTACACTGTATGTTCTTAACACACTTTTTTTTCAGAGACAGTAGTGTGTCAAGAAATAGATTGTTCTCAAACTGTAGTACAGAATCTTCAGAATTCACTTTTGTACATATGATGCTACAAATGTTATCCCTTTTGCACAGTTCCATTTTTGTAAAACTAGGAACACTTTTACACAAAGACTAAATCACAAGTTTGAATTCTTACAGAATAGAGGTCTGCTTTGTAGTGGTTTATGAAGAGGAAAGAGAAGCAAGAAATAGCATACAGAAACATATCAATCATTCACCTAGAGTCCCATCTGCAAAAACGACTGGACCATACACTTTAGAGGAAAGACCAAAACTATTTCTTGGTATAAAATATTATAGTGTGACAGAAAACATCCCCTCTTAGCTCATCTGATAATTCTTTTATTCCCAACTGGACAATGATTAATAGGCTTTTGTAATTTTAATCTCTGTTACTATTGTTTAATTAAATATTGTTGGGAGGTGGTGGTGGCTTTTTTAAATATATATTTTATTGCTATTGGATCTTATTTTGCTTGCAATTAAATGCCAGTTGTTTGACCTGTTGTGTTTTAAGTTTTGCTTTTAAGCAAAGAATAAGTGAAAACATCTGAGATACATATCTTGCACTTTGTTTTACTTAATATCTGTTATTATCCTCCTCAAATTAAGGTAGAATCCTTTACACCCCATAAACGGGAATTCAATTAGTTTTAGGAAGATTCTTCCCAGGTAAGATGCTTAGCATAAAGAGAATATTTACAAACTTACACACTGGAAATCCTGAACTATTTGTACGTTGCCTTGTAAAACCTGTATCTTAAGAACAGACAGACAGCAAAACAGGCTCAAACACCTCAGTCCCTCACCCTCAAGTATTCCTGGGCCTAGAACAAATCAAGGAAGATCATCCTCACTTTGGTCATACCCAGAGAATCCTACCTTTACTGTTGCCATGTGACTGGAGCTGAAGACTGCAGGGAGAAATCACCTATAGATTCTAACCTGTAAGTCAAGAAGAATGCACAGCAAGAACTTCTGGCAGTTCAAAATGTGCCTACGCTCCATCATTCCAGTGGCTGTTTGCCCTCATCTGACTTTTATAATGCTTTACTGTACACATGTCCCGCTTCTCTTGTTTTTACCAGTTAATCCTTTCCTAAGTAATCTCTCCTCTCTCATCCCAAAGTCCCAGAACACAATGAATGTGTTTTGATGCCACTGCACTGCTTAGGTGATATAATTTTTCCCCACAATGAATCTACCTTGTCTACTTGATCCTATATTGTTAGATAGAGTCTCTATGCTATTCTGTGTTTATACAATACCCAATAAAATAATAATAAATAAATAAATAAATCACAATCTTGCATGCCCTTTTAACACACAAAGGGAAATCATATAGCCAATTTGAATGTATTTGCCTTGTGAATTTTAAGCTGGGTTTACTTACCCCATGACAATGACCGGATCTTTTTTCTTCTCTGAATTTACTCAAATTCTGAATTAGGTCATCTTGTTTAACTGAAGCATAAAATGAGTCATTCTTAGCTACCTCAGTATGGTCAAGCAGATTTCTGGTCGATTTCTACAACTCTGCAAAATACAGGAATTTCATTTTCCTTTCTATATAGAACAATCAACAAAACTTAATAACAGACTAAGTAATAAATCTAATGCAATTGTTTTTAACCTAGGTGGCTGGTGGGATATAACTTTCTCTTTAATTCCTTGACTAAATACATAAAATGACAAACCAACAGAAAATTGGAAATATTTTCTTAACTGGAGGTTATGTTTTTTGGTTTTGTTTACTTTTTTACTAGAAAAGCAACTATGAAAGTAAGAATAGCTATGTTTGCCAAGTTTGCTTGCTTAAAGGATAGGACAATGGAAACTACACAGGGCCCATATATAACACAGAAACTGTGGAATCAAAGAGATAAAAAAACCCCTTTGGGTCTTTAAACTTGGGACTTAGAGCTTAAATAACAAAGACAGAATTATAGACAAGGAAGGAAAGTAGGTGGCCAGAAAAGTAAGTGGGTTGGCCTTATCTAGGTCCATCCAGTTATCTGTTTCCAAATATTAGATATTCTAAATTCTGAAGAGATACATGAGAAAAATAAGTCTAAGTAATAGAAGTATGGGGTTTCACATGCCCACTGCTTTAAGAAATAGAGTTTACTTTCCAGAGACAGAGTACAGCACACTAGAGGCTTATCAAAAAATTGTACTGTACAAATGGTAAGTAAAAGGGGACACTTCACTACCTTAATGTGATGCTGTCATCAACTGCCAGAGGAAGAAAAACAGAACCTGACCACAGGTTTCTAAAGAGTAAAACTGTAACATCACACCTTTTAGTTTTGTTTGTTTCTCTTGCCTCCTACACACATTTTACTGTAAAAACAGGTTCAAGCCTTTTGTTAATTGAAACAATCAATTTGAACACCTTTGATCTACTCTTGAGCATACAGGCTATGTCTATATTAAAAATTTAAGCTAGTATACATAGAAGAGCAGAAGTCACTGGATATCTCTTGAAGCATCACTTGAACACTAGTTTAATATTACTATAATTATCAGACTTGATTGTCTTGTATCTCATGGTCTCAATCTTCAAGTCTTACAGATAGCAAATCTGCCTCAAGATTCATTTTTCTAAGATAGAGTAATTACTAGATTAATTATGAATCTTAAATTTGAGTAACGTATTAAATGTTAACTTGTCCTCAAGAAAGCATGCATTTATGTAAGCAAACAAAACACAGACCTTATCTGCTACTAAATTGCTTTAATTTTGTTTAAAAATAAAACCCCAATGTTCCTTGTTTGGAACTTTAGCAAGTATAAGAGTTGAAATTTATACTGAAAGTAAAATTATATACAAAGCTACAAATGTAGAAGGTATACATAGATAGAAAAATTGTTAAAGATCTACACTAGGGATCTTCTAGACAAACATATTCCCAGACAATAAAAATCTAAACTAGTTTGCTCACTCTGATGTGGTACAATAAGAACGGCATAAATTGTATCAGATTAATATATTCTGGGTTACAAAATGATGTTCCAAGTTCCTGTTTCTTGTTTCCCATTACCATTTAGCATTATTTGCCCCTTTCTCTAATGCGTTCCAGGAAGAGACAAAACTGGTTTGAATCACAATTAATCCTCAGTCACTATTATTTTCATAGCTTAAAAAAAAAAAAGCAGAAATTATGCTAAACAATTATGAAATTATTTCAATTTTATTGGTTTTTTTTTCATGTAAAAAATCAGCTATGATTTATAAACAAATTAATATTTTAATTCCTCTTTTCAGCTGAGAAAAAGAACAAGCATGGCAGTTGCTTCTCAGATAAATGCACCAAATAGTACCTGTGCTCTGTAGCAATTCCCAGTTTCAAATGTTAAATCCAGTTTCCGAATATATTAGCCTGAAACTCAAAATAGGGGTGTGAAAAGACGTACGAATATAGCCAACTTCAACAACTAAGCAGAACGTTTAACAGAAAGCAGTTTCAGGCATACTGAAAAATAGTTGCAGTGACCATTAAATATTTCATAACAGGTAGCAAAACTACTTTACAGCTGAATTTAATTTTAGATCCTACTTGGCAACTGGATCCAGGGGGATGCTCTCCTCACTGGAGTCAGCCGAGGCCACCCTCAGTACAGCAGGATGACACTCGGTTGCCAGATGGGACCCAATTTTTATTTTGTTCTTCTTCAAGCCTGTTCTCTGGGATGTCACGCCGCCCTTTGGCCTTGGCCCTTTCCTTCACTGACCTTTTTTGATGAATATCGTTTCCTCCCTGAATTCCAGCTAATTAGCCAAATGCCCCCATTCTTAAGACTTTAAAGCACTCTGAATCCCCCTTCTCTCCGTTTCTCTCAACAACTTCTCCCCTTTTGTCCAGCCGCAGGTGAGGGAGCACGGCTCAGCTCGGGAGGGGAATGGTGAGGAGCCGCTTCCCGCCACTCAGGCGGGTCGCAACCCTGGGACTCGTGAGGAGAACGGACCGGCCAAGGTGGCTCGCAGGCTTTAACGGAACGGAGCTACCTGGCCGCCGCTGGAGCTGCAGCGAGCGCAGCCTCGCAGAGCCCCAGCCGCATCGACCCGAAGCAAGAGCCCCGCTCCACGGGCCCTCCGCC